AGTTTCTAGTCCTAGTCTGGAGGTCACGTGTTCGATGCCTGGATTGGCCGTGAGAGTTAGTCGAGATTTTCCGGAGTGGTTCCTCCTTGTCAGTGGTGCAAGACGGAGGGCCTGACAAGGACAGCTGTCTAGTCGTTTGGATGGAACGAAAAACCGAGTTCCCGTTTACACATTGGCATGCACGTAAAAGATCCCTTGACATTTGGAATTCGATATAAGAGTAGGCCATAGTGCCGCTGCCAAGGCAAAATGCCCGTTTTCATTAGCCCAGTCGGAGCAGAACAGTAGGACGTTAAACCCCATTTCATTTCATTTCACATACCTTAGGTCATTACTCTAACGTTCTGTGGCTATTGAGTATTGTTCCAAGGTAAATTAAAATGATTAGGTCATCAAGTTTCGTGATTTACATGTACACTTGAAATATATTATCCTAAATTACCGGGAGAGATCTAACGACCTGTCAATCCGTGACAACCGTATAGAAGCCGCATTGTTAAGTATGATCGGACCGCACATAACGTTTTTACACCTTCGTATATAAGTATTAGTTTAATCCAGTAGATATGAAGTAGTAGGTACATAGACCATGATTGACAGACAGTCGCCAACTACCGTCATATTACCAGATTATCTTACATATCACACGAAATCTACATCATACCATATACTATAATCACATTAATAGAAATACATTTCACACACTGCCAATTAAAAACTTTCCAAAAACAAAATTTTACAATTATGACCGACTCGCATCATATTTTTTTTAATTTACAACACTGACAAGGAGGAACGACGTAGGAAAATTCCGAAGAACTTTCTCGGTAATCGAAGGGATCGAACAGGGGGTGAGTCAACATCTTACTCACTGGACCAACGTGGCTCCCGGGCATGAACAAACATGGCAAAGAGTTTGTCTTTTGACTATTGCAATACCATATAATGAATGTACCTTTGCCATTGCCCCCTATTAAATATTACCATTATAATGTGTACCAAATACACATACTACCTGGGGAGGTACGGCCCCGGCACATTTCGAAATTACCATGTAAAGTTCTTGATATTTGTTCTTGTATATGCTTTAATAGCAAACATCATCTGATCTGTTATAGATGTATGTTCGTTGTTTCGACTATTTCTGATAGATTATAAAATTAAAACTATTTCTGATAAAATAGTTAATAAAATTAAAGCTATTTGTGATAGTTTATAAAATTAAAACTACATGTATTTGTGATAGTTTATAAAATTAAAACTATTTCGGATAAAATAGTTTAGAAAATTAAACCTTTCAACACTCCAGTGATTATTTACAGTATATAAATATTTTACTTTTCATTTACACTTAAAATCACAATGCACGGACGACTTAGCTGTTGTGAGTTTATATACTGTTGCATGGCAACCTATGTTTTTTAAGTGTGGGAAGTTTAAACATTCCAACTTGTTATTTTTAATGATATGCCTTGTTTAAAATCGGGTCGCGGGCCGCTTTTAAAAAAAGAAACAAAAAAAATCGCTAAGCTGCTTTAGATCGACAGACAGCGACCACAAAAACCACAACTACTCGGTTATTCTACCATTTAAAACGATTATTGCCACTTTCGAGATACTTGAAATATTTCTTTTTAACCACAGAGATGATTTATAACAGATAATTCTTTATGTCGCGATTTTAATCTGTCTAAATTATGATCTCCTCAATGTAAAAAGTAAATAGAAATAAGTAATGTGTCATTTAATAGCCCTATCATAGTTAGTCAAAGGGCAGGCCGGCTAGCCCCTTGTCTCCGACATTGGTAAAAAGAGATTCAATTGACCACAAACGCCAATTAAAGCGTGGAGAATTGACGGTAAAGTAGCGGTTGTCATTCAAGGTGCTATAGTAGATAGTTGACAATAGTTAGCCAACCCTGGTTTGGTCGCATATTATCGCTATCAACGGTCTAGACTTCGTGCCGCTGTATTTGTTCATATTCGAGTTGACGACAATGGGACTTTAAGTAAAATTATCCACACATATATATCTTTTACTTATACATACATATACATGTAGATTTTTATATACATATCTAAATATACTACACCTTGGCTTAGATATAGTAAGCTATACACAATACAGTTGAAATCAGGCAAGCATAGCGGCGCTCCGTAGTGGGGGGAAAGCTAAAGCAAAAAAAAGGGGGAATAACTTAATTCAGTGCACGTCAAGCTCTGGTCTGTTGTGTGTTGTGCGTTTTCTACTAAAAGTTGAAATCTTGAAGTGGTTGTTCACCAATGAGACGTCTTAGCGCCAGTTCTATTTTTGTGTTTAATCAAGATTCTGTAGATTTAATTAATCATGAAGGATTTGTTTATAGTGTTTTCAATCTTGTGCTCACGATAAAATGTGATAACTGTGTGTTACGTCACGACCTAGGATAACTTTATTTGGATATTTGACGCTTTTTTTAAATTTGTTTAATGGCATAAGAAATGTAAATTTCTACGCTTCGAGGATTGAATGGATTGGTGGTTAGTACATTTTTCTTAATTTTACATATAAAAAAATGTTATCGCATTTCTTGTTTATATGTATTTTTGTGTTATTTATGCGTCTGATTTTAAAAAGACGATTTTGAAAATAATATTGATTAACTTGATTTACCTTTAATGTTATTTCGACGTCTATAAATACTATAACAGAATTAGTTTGACGCTATTTTTACTTCTCTACAACAGTTATTTAATAGAAAAAGATGCATAATATTAAGTGCAAGACGTTTTCTTTGTAAATGAGTGGGTTTAAACTCTGTATTACGGAGACATAGATAATTTATTTTAAATATACTATATACACTGTAGTCTTGTAATTAAATTTGTGGAATGAAATGAATGTGGTTTGAGCTTTACTTTTGGGCGCCAACCGGGCTAATGAACATAGACAGCGGCGTTACCTCCAATTGTTTAGTGAATTCCAACTGTTAATGGTTCTTTACGTGTACGACAGCAAGTACACAGAATCTGAGATTTTCGTCCAATCCGTACGACTAGATACTTTTCCTTGTCAGTTAGGCTCTCTATATTGTGCACCATTGGCAAGTGGGGACCGAGCACTGAAAAATCCGGGATCGAACCTGACAATTTCTGGTTAATGATCCAGCGTCTTAATCACTAAGCCACCGCGGCCCCCGCGAAAATTGAAACAAAGAAAAGATGCACGTAGACACTGTGAGTAAGAGTGGAAATCAATGAGAATTATCAAACCTTTTATAATTTCTTTGGTGTGTGCAGTCGGAATGTGACAATTTTATTTTTAAATGAATGACCTCGCTATTTGATAATTTTTTTTTTAAAAAAATACGTCTGTTTGTGGTTAATTATCCGTCTGGTCTCCTTAAATGTAAATTGCATATATGAGATTGGTTTAATATAGGCTATGCCTGTTCCCAAATTCCTATTCAGATACAAGTCTGATTAAAATATTGTTTATAACAAAAAGAAAATATGATATGACCGTTTAATCTTTGAGACCTTGAAAACAGTTTTGTATTTATGTTTATTCAAAAGTGTAAACATGTCAACATTATCTGAATTTTAAAAAAAAGAATCAAATTGAAATATGTTGCACCATGTAGTGTTGTTATGTGGCACCATGAACCCGTGTCGTGTAGCTAGGTGGCACCATGAACCCGTATCGAGTTGGTATGTGGCACCACGAACCGGTGTTGTGTTGTTATGGTCACCATGAACCCGTGTCGTGTTGGTATGTGGCACGACGAACTCCTTTCCTGTTTCTAGGTGGCACCATGAACCCGTGTCGTGTTGATATGTGGCACCATGAAACCGTGTCGTGTTGGTACGTGGCACCATGAACCCGTGTCGTGTTGGTATGTGGCACCATGAACCCGTGTCGTGTTGGTATGTGGCACCATGATACCGTGTCGTGTTGGTATGTGGCACCATGAACCCGTGTCGTGTTGGTATGTGGCACCATAACCTGTGTCGTGTTGGTATGTGGCACCATGATACCGTGTCGTGGCACCATGAACCCGTGTCGTGTTGTGAAAATAAGAAAGTTGGCAAGATGTCCTTGTAATTTTTATAAAATATGATACGAATTGAAAGGAGATGGGGTTTAACTTCCTTCTTTTTTGCACCGATTGGGGTAATGAAGATTGGCATACAGTGTTCTATGAGGGAAAGTTTGCCCGGACAGCGGCGCTACGGCCTACTCTTATCTGGAATTGCAACTGTCAAGGGTTCTTTTACGATACATTGCCCCTTGCCGGTAGGGATAAACCCGTTACATGTTCAGCCATTTCTAAGTACATTATGTCCAGAATACACGAGATGACTTCTCATGGAGTTGGGGGCGTATAAATTACTTGCTGTGTTTTTACATCCGAGGAATCTGCATGGGCGTCTGTGGGATGGTATGTGTAGTATAAAGCACGAGGCTGGGATTATGCTGGGGAAAGAAAGACTGAAGAAAATAACCCGAGAAAAAGAAAACCCGAGTCTTTTTTCCCCTGCATAACCGAAGTCGAGGACTTTATCTTGCTTATAAATCGTTTATGTTTACATGTACGTAAAATGAGAATATCCCAGAATTCCAGTAAGAAAAACCTTATATCATGTTTTCTTATGGAACAAAAACCTACCTTGGAAGAATAGCCCGTTACAGGTTTAAAGAAAACCTTTCAGAAGAATTATATAACCTCAAATTCCCATCCAAAGCCGCCCCCGACTTTTAGACTACAAGTTATTCCGGGCATAGAATATACCCAAACGAGATTTACCTTTATAGGTTTATAAATAAATATTACCTAACAAGTAACCTTGGTTTCGGAGAATCAAAAGATAAAATCTCGCTTCAAATAGCTATAAATAGTGACTTGTGTCGTGTGCGACACGGGATATGCTTAGGCTTTCTCGAACACCTAATTAAGATGTCTAGACATGGCCATGGCCGCATGAAATTAAATTCTTAATATTATAAAATATATTTTCAGATTTCTAAAGATGTGGAAGCTATTTCAGTTACTGGCGTTGCTCATCAATCTCCATAGCAGTGCGAGCTCATCGTCACAACTCTTCTTCCGGTTATTGGAAGCAGACGATCCGGTATCGGAGAAAGACATTCATCACCAGGACGGCCACAGACCTCATCCTTCAGATACCCTCCCTATTAAAGATCTGATTGAAAACCCAAATACTTCTTATGATCCAAAACCAGAAGATATCAACAGAAAGATACTGAAGCATTTAATAGGTAACGCTTATGATAAGCATTACATGTCCATCAAAACGCCGCCTGAACGTAAAAACCTAACAATGTTCACCATGGTGAGAGGAAGACCAGCAGGTCCAAGGCCCAAATTTGTGAAAGTCTTCAAATCCATTAAACACAAAAATGGTCCAACGTTCAAATTAAAAGTTGGGAAAAAAGAGAGGCGAAAATTTCAAAAATATTTGTGGAATTACACTTACTGTCCTGTGAAATATGTTTGGAAAGATCTGGGTATTCGATTCTGGCCGAGGTGGATAAAGGAAGGCTCGTGCGCATCCAGTAAACAACGGTCGTGCTCGATTCCTCCTGGAATGTCGTGTCGTCCGAGTGGATCCACGACGAAAACTTTATTAAGATGGTACTGCAGGAACCGAACTGTGGAGAACATACCAACTGACTGTGAGTGGTTAGCCTTTCAATATCCAATCATAACAAAGTGCTCCTGTTCGTGTTAAAGTGACTTCGACATATTCGACATATCAGAAACTGTAAAACAACGGTTGTGATTTTTAATGGCATTTATTTTATTTTATTTATGGACTTGTTCACGAGTGAAAGAATGGGAGATTTCCCATTACAATTATTATATAATTGACAACACGAAAGACTGTCGTTGCTTTTATATAATTTCTGACTTTGTGTGTTTGGATTTTAAGACGACTTTTATGGATTGTACATTACAATAACAATTGTGTTAGTCAACAAATTGATATATTAAGACAACACGACATTTATGGATTGTACATTACAATATCTTGCGTTACTCTACAAATTGATATGTTAAAGCAACACGACATTTATGGATTGTACATTACAATAACTTGCGTTACTCAACAAACTGATATATCAAAACAACACAACATTTATGGATTGTACATTACAATAACTTGTGTTACTCAAAAAACTGATATATTAAAACAACACAACAGATTGTAAACCTGTACATCACGAAATACCTTAATTAGTTTATGATTTGGTGTATTCTCTTAATTAGAATAAAAGCAAAAGTTGTTTTGGATTTTAACACATGTGTAGATTGTACATTACAATAATCATTGTGTGTGTCACTCAATAAATTTATATGTTAAAATATTCTATAACAACACGACAGATTTGTGAACCTGTACAAGACAATATCTGTTGTCTGATAAGGACCCTGAGAACATTTTTCTATATATCTAATTCAAATATACTATTCAAACGACGTTATGAATTGTTCGTTCTTCTGTCGCCGAGTTTGTGAATTATTAATAATTGGTTTTAAAAAAGAACTCGGGATTTAACGTCAATAAAGCCATGATTGTGAAGCGACACCACTTTTTAAAAGTTTCCTCAATGTGCCAATCGAGTGTAAATAATCCAGGCTATAATTGTCAATGAAAAATGATATAAGTATATGTGTATATATGCTATTTGTTGTATATAATGTAATTGTATATATATATATATTTATGTATGTGTAAAACCGACAGATCTAGTGCTATCAATGTAATTCGCCGACTGTGAACATTATTTGATCAAGTGATGGCGAGTGGCGACTGTGAACAATGTCAGACTATTAGAGGGAAGTTAAATCAATGAAATCCACCAGGGGGTGTCGACACTGTGTCTATCCACTTCTCTGTATAATTGTTTGGGCGGTAAAGTCAGTGGAGTCTCGGGTCGATTGTTGAGTCTCGGCCAGGCAAGCCATTCAGAAAAAAATCAAAAAGGCAGTTTGTAGGTTCAGGGCCAATTGATATATAATGATTTTTGAAGAAAAAATGTGTTAAAAGATTGTATAGGGTCTGTGCATGTAAATTAAAACATGGATTCACGCAGTCCAATGGGTTTTTAAAATTCGTTTCGGGGCTTTAAATAGCTCCGTTACTATTTAAATATACATTATGCAAGAGCTAAATCTGCCTATTGCAGGTCTTTCTTTAGGCCTGAAATGTTATCTAAATTATTAATTAGACATTAATTAACTTATCCAGACCATAATCAACTCTCGATGTCATCGCTAGTCTGCGATATTTACTGGATTAGGATCCGGTTTGCTGCTCAACTTTCATCCATGATTTAATCATGAAATGGATAATCGAGACTATGATTTTTATCGTACCGACTTCAATCGCTAAATTCTCGGTTCAGGGTGGATCAATTTGACTGAAATTTTCAGCAAATTTCCTTTACATTATCTAGTTTTTAACTATTATAGTAAGAATTGTCAGCTCTTTATTTTATCTCCCATAATGTATCTTTAATAGTTCCATTGCGTCATTTGCATTTTGCCCTAAAATATCAAATGACCCACGGCTTAATCCATGGTAATATGTACTCATATTGTTTAAGAAAAGAAAATCAAAATATTAATGCAAGGTAATATCCCGGCTTGGATTACAATCAGATTAAAAACAATTTTGTTTACAGCAAATAAAGATGACGGCCGTCTTGTAACATAGGGAGCAGGATGGTTTGATCTATTTCACAAGGCCACCTGCATATTTTGCCAAGGTCACAAGATGTAAACAGGGCTGGGTCTTGGGTTAGATTATGATACACGATAATAAGAAATAAGAGAGAAGGAAATGGGGTTTAACGCCCACTCGACACAAACCAGGTAATTTCGGGACTAACATTTGGTTCAATTTTATATTAATAATTCGCTTGCGCGAGGTTGGACAGGCGACCATACTCTTTGCCACGTACAAGCGGGAAATTGAAACCAGCTGATAAAGGCGAACACATGCCATGCAGTGTGCCATAAGCTAAATCTTGCCCGGACAGCAATTGAATTCTAACTGGCGAGGGTTCTTTTACGTGCACACCAATATGTACACGGGACCTCGGTTCATTGTAGAATCCGAACGACTAGACACTGTCCTTGTCAGAGTGACCGCAGGGAAAACCGCGCCGGACAACCCCGAGGAAAATTTCTCGGCTAACCCCGGGAGCGAACCCTAAATCTCCTGGTTAGCGAACCAGTGTCTTACTCACTGGGCAATACGACTTCGATCGTTGGCATCGATAGCGCGTAGTCATGTAAAACTGGTCGTGGCAGAATGGTGCCTTTTACTCATTTTACGCCTTGGCGTACTATTTTAGGAACCCATTTACGTTAGATAGGAAATATTTTTTATCCGGATATACTTCAAACAGCTTTATTTATTTTTCTAATAATTTGCAGAAGGAAAAAAGTTAATATTGTGAGCTAATTAACTTGCACCGATGTCACCCCTGTCAGTGATTGTAGCGGCCTATCGAATATTCACTGCTGATCAGTTTGAGACGCACCTCATTTAGAAAGTTGTTCCGGTCACATGTATATTATATAAAGACCTCATCGTGTATAATTAATCATGTATCAATGTAAATGTGTGTATTTATAATTAAAGCAGGGTATAAATAGTTTTGTGTATTATTTATAAAGATGATGTAATAGTTGTATAAATATTAGATTATAAACTTGTAATAAAGCTGATTTAAAGTAGACATTTATCTTCTTATTTCAATTTATTTTTTGTTCTAGAGAGAGAGAAATGAAATGAAATGAAATGGGGTTTAACGTTCTACTGTTCTGCTCCTAAACTGGGCTAATGAAGACGGGCATACGCCATACAGTGTGCTATGAGGGAAATTTTGCCCGGGCAGCGGCACTACGGCCTACTCTTATATCGAATTCCAACTGCCAATGGATCTTTTACGTGCACGCCAATGTGTACACGGGACCTCGGTTTTTCGTACCATCCGAACGACTAGACAGCTGTCCTTGTCAGGCCCTCCGTCCTGCATCACTGACAAGCGGAAACCACGGTGGAAAATCTGGATGAACTTTCTCGGCCAATGCAGGGATCGAACACCCGACCTCCAGGCTAACGAGCCAGCGTCTTACCCACTTAGCGAGAAAGAGAGAAATGGGGTTTAACGTCTACTCGACACAAACTAGGTGGTTTTGGGACTAACATATGGTTCAATTTTATTTCAATAATTCGCTTGCGCGTCGTGGTCTTTAGCAGTGGGTGGGGGGGGGGGCGGAGAGAGAGAGAGATAGGTGTTTTTGGGGCTAACATATTGTTCAATTTTATTTCAATAAATAAAACCGAATGACCCAGAGAAAACCCAGAGATTGGACAGGCGATCATACTCCTTGTCACGTACAATGCACACGCGCTAACAATTCAGCCACCCCCCCACCTTTTTCCTCTATGTAAATCCTCACTGCATACACCTATTATATGCTGCAGGCATTGTTCCAGAATCGTACGCGAGGTGATATTTTGTCAAAAAGATAGTTGTGACTTATTTGGCAAAGTGGCTAAATCGTTAGAATCCATGCGATTTTCAATTAAGATATGTACCAAGAAATAGCTTGAACTTATCATGGAGAACGACAGTTGCGAATATAACATTTGTGGTGTGAATCCATAAGGATTCAGACTAGTAATTATATCCTATTGACTTCATTGTCAAATCAGTGACACTTCTTGGCCCATAGCATTTTTTTCTTAACATTCTGATGACTACAAAGCGCCCAAAGTGTCACAATCATCTGGTAAAAATATTATTATTAATGGGTGTTGGTCACTTCGATTTTTTGCTAGGCATGGTCAAATGAATGACAGTGACGTACCATTTTATATCTGTTTACTTCCAGGTTCTTCCGCCCTAAAAGTCTGGAATATTCACCAAAATTGGAAATTCAAAAGTCTACGAAAATTGTTATGTGAATGGGAGAAAGAGAGAATTGCTATAAATAGGTGCACTACGTACAGTCTTAGTCCATATGGCGCGAAGAGTTAATTCCCCCTCCCACCTAATCTGAGCTGCAATCGTGATGTCAATTTTACTTGTCGCAATGGCCACCGTGAAAAGCAGGATAGCTATAATAGAAATTAGATTGTTTGAGCCAGGAACAGGACCTCGAACGCTACTCATCTTGTTCTTTGGGGGAGACGCTCTTAGAATAAAGCCCAAGCGAAGTTGGGTGGCCAAATGGTTTAACGTGTGAGCTTTTGCCCATAAGGTCAGTCATTAAGTAAACAACGTCTTGGGTTTTTTCCGGGTCCTCCGCCCCCCCCCCCCCCCAACACACACACACTACTAAAGACCCCTATGCTCAAGCGAATTATTGATATAAAATTGAACCACATGTTAGTCCCGAAATGACCTGGTTTGTGTCGAGTGGATGAAAAACTCCAGTTTTCGTGATCCGAACTAAATACGATGGACATCAAACTTCGATTGTTCATATAATGTCACAATTCCACGATGGCGGCGATGACGGCATGCGTTTCTTCTTTTGTTTTGGTGGCGTGTTTATGCATGGGGGTGGGAAATGGCGATGAAATTGTTCTTCTGGCCGGAAATAGAAACGTTTAGAAAAAAAATGGCAATGAAATTGTTCTTCTCGCCGGAAATAGAAACCTTTCGAAAAAATGGCTGACCACTCAAATTACAATCTGTGCTACCAGTATTTTGACCTGGATTTAGCGATTAAAAAATGACGTGGGTTGGTAATTGACGTATCTGCCACCCACAATAAATCTCCATCCTCTCTCTCGTGTCTATTCTCAACATATTTCATCTTTAAACAAGGAAATTCTGTGAAGGCAGCGCCCTTTTCCAGTTTAATTACTATAAATAGACTGAAGTGTATACACAAACTTTTATAGTATGTATGTATCTAAGTGAATAATTCAAATGTCTTTCAATGAAGGCGTCGATTTCGTATAATGTATTTACTTGATACAACGTGTTTGGAATAAAACAGTAAAAATAACCATCTCATAGACGTGACAAGTGTCATTCTGTCTCTTCGTTTAAAATAGTCTGTCTTAGCCCACTCAAATCGCTAAATTAAAGTGATCCCTGTATTTGTTGTTGTACGTTGCTTAAACCTTAGTCTAAAATAGCCGGGAAATGCTAATGGTAGACCGGTTAGAGAGGTTCGGGAATATCCGGAGTCCACAATGGCCGCTTTATATAAATGAGTATTTTGCGCAACACCAAACCTAACCCAATCCTTTCAAGAGGGATAAAAGGTAAATTGGATCTAAGATCAGTCTTCTAAAAAGGGTTAGGATTAGTATCCTATTTCGATTCGTTTTCTATAGTTCAAAATTTCGTTTTACCTATCTTCACTACACTAGGATCTGGAAGAGTTGTTATCATTGACGTGTTCTGAATGGTGTGAGGAATTAGCCAATGAAACGGTCTTTTACGTGCAGTTTTGCACGAAACTGTGGTTAATCCACTAGTAACATCAATGCTGATGTCTGATGTCATAGGTCAAAAGCCGCTGGTATGACCTTTGACGCGACCTATCGCTACAACCGGTCAGATCTTCGAAAGTATAAAAAAACGAAACGAAATATAGATCTGTATTTTAATCAGATTGAGCTGTCCTGAATGAGAGTAGGCCGTAGCGCCGCTGTACGAGCAAAATTTCCCTCAGAGCACACTGTATGGCGGATGCCTGACTTCATTAGGCCAAATCGGTGTAGAAAATCCCTCACTAACTGCACGAACATTTTTATATGTAAATACTCCACGTGTCCAGCAATGTGGTTTTTAATGCGAGAACTTCGCTTTTCCACTGGATTGTTGTTCCCACAGGGATTTTTCAGTCCGCAGCGATGGCATCAAACAGCTGGACCTCCTGTTTTAACTTGTTTTTTTATTATGACAAAGTGAGAAGATGACCCGCCTTCTTTTCTCACGACAGCGATTTTAAACTGTGTTTTAAAGTGACTTTTTGATATACAAGAACGTTTTATTTTTTAGTGATTTTACCGATTTTCTATATATTACTTCTTCATATGTAAATAACTTAATTAAATCAACCTGTCCATAATATCATATATTATGTATTGGACGTTAAATTTGTAATAAATAACATCAGAAGATCTCTCTCTCTCTCTCTCTCTCTCTCTCTCTCTCAGATGCTTTCAGTGCATACAATGAGAACTAACTGAACAATGTCAAATAATATTTAATATTGTTTGTCCAATATAGGATCTGTTATGTTATCCAAACCTTTGTAACTTAAGAATAATCTCTCTCTCTCTCCCTCTCTCTCTCTCTCTCTCTCTCACACACACAAGATAGGTGTGTAAGATATACGGGTGTATATAAGATATCATTATACAGGTGTGATATATGAAGGTGTGATATATACATGTGGTTTAACATCTACTTATTAAAGCGTGTCTTTAACACATTGGATTTCTATTCCAATAGACGACATGGAAACCAGATTAAAGAAAGCAAAACATCTATTAGAGGCACTAACAATTGTCTATTGTAGGTGGTCAGTAGTTTTGTCCACATTAAGTCAATAATGACTGGACATCAAACACTAAACATTGTGATCGTCCAGCCTGATAATGTTTGTGGTCAGACAGCCAGGGACCCAGTAAGGCTACGCCAATTTGGTTTTATGTTGTTCGAGGTTTTAGTAAATAAATCGCCACTTGAATCACATGAAAGTTGTTTTGTTTAAAATGTGAAAACTTAGAAATTTGGAACAGCACAACCAAATACTTTTAGTTTTGAAATAAGTCTTCTTCACGAAGAAATACGAAAGAAAATTGTTCCCGAAGAACAGGATGGGGTGGGATCTAGTGGTTTAACACGTGCGTGTGAAATCACAAGGTCTGTCATTGCAAGTCAAGTGGCGTGGTTTCGATTCCCCGCTTGAACGTGACAAGGAGTAGGGTCGCCTATCCAGTCTCGTGGGTTTTCTCCGGGACCCCCGCGGGTTCCTCCCACTACTAAAATTAAATCATAATATGCTAGTCTCAAGATGCTCTAGGTGGCGGGGGTCGCGGTGGCTAAGTGGGTAAGACGCTGGCTCGCTAGATTTTTCAGCGTAGTCCCGCCTTGTCAGTTATTCAGTACGGAGGGTCTGACAAGGACAGCTATCTAGTCGTTCGGGTGGGACGAAAAACCGAGGTCCCGTGTACATATTGACGTGCACGTAAAAGATCCCTTGACAGTTGGAATTCGATACATGAGTAGGCCGCAGTGTCACTGTCCGGGCAAAATTTCCCTCATAGCACACTGTGTGACGTATGCCCGTCTTCATTAGCCCAGTTCGGAGCAGAACAGTAGGACGTTAAACCCCATTTCATTTCTAGTTTTTATCGAGTGAACTTTGAACCCCACTTCTCTCTCTTTCTCAAGAAGAACACAAAATCAACTTGGTGCGGCCTAATGTCCCACGTCTGCCTTTTTAAGTACCACCTATCAATCCACTCATCTTAAATATCTTTTTGACAATAATGACACCCTTCATATGAAGATAAGAGTTATAATGGCCAACAACTTAATTATATATAAGGGCTATAGTAATTTAATCATAGTATTTTAATGACATGTCTGTCTGAACAATACAATCAAATCCATAAACTATCTGAGTTATGGATGATCGACGTGTGACAGACAGTGACTTTAAAGATATCTAATAGTAAGTGCAGGAGGACCGCACTACA